GCTGCACCGACGTTACTCACTTAGCTCTACCCAGGAGGTGTATGTAGCTTGAAGATAAATTACGGTCGCGGAGTAACAATACCCTCCGCAACGCTCTACGATCGTGTTAGACCGGGACCTATGGTTTAAAGTGGAATCCGAACCACTACAAACATCCATGGCGCCGCCGGGACTCGAACCCGAAACCTGTAGTATTGAGCGCTAGCCACTCAGCCATTCAGATTCCTAAGAACGAAATATGTGGATGAAAAGAATTACTACACATGGACTTCTTGCAAGTAATTGGTTTACAATTGTGTAACTTGGAGAGAAAAAAAGGGGAACATACCACAAAAGCAGCTTAATGACATCAAATACCTATTATTAAACCATATTTTTAAAAAAAATTTACAATTTTAGATAAATCTTTTTTTTAAATTTAGTTTTGTTTTTTAAATTGTTTACGTTACTGTAAATAAAGCGGAGCCTGATGGCCGAGTGGCTAGCTCTCTGGTGCTCAATGCCACAGGTTTGAATCCTGGCGGTGCCATGGATGCTTGTAGTTGTTCGGAATCCTCCTCAAACCGTAGGTCCTGGATCGTAGAGTGGATCATAGGATCGGAGAGGATCGGAGAGTGCCGTGGGGGTACTCGCTTTCGTAGAATAACTTCAAGCTACGCGTGTCCCTTTGCGTAGTGCTAAATGAGTAACAGTGGTACAGCCCTTGCTTATGGCATAAAGATTAACTGTCTCTGTATTGTCAGCTGCATTAGCTTTATTTGCAATAAAGCTAGGTTCTCAATTCAGATATTACTTGTGTAGATAAGATGCAAGAGATCTCGGGTTTGATTTAGTTGCATAACGTCTTGAAGTCACTGCTTTCAGAAAAAAGGATAGTCCTTAGTGAGAGATACTGTGAATTGTCTGGCTCCGATAGTCAGAGGCTATCTATTGAGAGTATCCGGTCTTTTCTCTTATACCATACGAAAATGATGAGCTGTCGTCATATCGTTTTTGCTTCTGCATCTTTTTTCTTTTCATTTACTTTTAATAACTCAGTATTGATTAAATGAGTAGATGGATATCACTATTGTAATAAATGATGACGCCTACTGCGTAAATGGTGCAAGAGAACCATACTGAGAATTCAAATGCAGTAATACAAAAAATATGAATTTATTGCGTCTTTTCCATACTGTGTTAGAATAAATCAGTAATTTCCTTATTGGTAACATATTCGGAGTTGCTGTTGATAGGTTATTGATTTTTTTTAATTGAAAAAAAAAATTTAATTTTTTTGACTGATAGAATCATTTACTTCAATGATAAAAAAAAATGGTTTAAAATTTTCATCTTTAAAAAATGTATTCTTTTATTTTTCGTTGCATTCTTTGACCGTGAGTATATGAAGGTCCTCACACAGTACGCATTTGTAAATCTCAGTAGGACTGGACGAAATAGATCATTGTCCTTTCTTTCTAATCGGATTTCTTACAATTGTTCGACAAAAGAAAAAAAAAGAATATCGAGACGAATTATTGATGAATTGGGATATTCATCGAGATCCACAGTTGTGCTCTTTCTGGGTGAATTTTACCATAGATTGACATCTGATTATACTGACCAGATTTGAGTGAATTCTAAATTGATGCAATCCGCAGACTTGAAAAAAAATTTCTTCCTCGAATTCCAGTACTAAATCCTTCTGCGATACATCAAAAGGAATATTCTTTAATGAGAAACTCGTGGTGATTCTTTTTTCCTTTGGTAAATTAAATTTAAACCGGTATCGCCTTGATAACTTTAACTGATTGATACAAGTTTATGCGATGTGCCCAGATGATCAGTTATGGTCACCAGTTTTCCCGCCTGATTATTTGCTTATGCTCTATGTGTTTTGAGTATAAAAAATATGTTATATATTAGTTTCTACGAGTTGCTCCGGCAAGAACCTGAAAGTCTGCAGTAAAAAAAAGGGGGGTGGGTTGGCTTCCTTTTGTTAGACAAAGTTCAAATGTACCCATAAAAACTGCAACTCTTAGCATAGGGAAATTCATTGCTATATCCGCCATAAAGTATAGAACAAAGACACGTAGAAATTGAAACGAATATAATAAAAACAAATAAAAAAACCAGTAAAAAAATTAAAATTAAAAATTAAATTAAATGAGAAATTAATATTAAGTCCAAATTAAATAAATATAATAAGAAAAATAAATATTACACAGAAAAGAAAACCAGTTCGTAATTGGACGGGATTTCAATTGTCGACCTCACAGTCTTCAACCAAACTTCTGCAATATTATTATTATTGAAGTAGTTGTTTCTGACCGTTATCATATTGCTTACAAGCCATATTTCGGGGTTCATCTTTCACTAATCAGTTAATTTTCACTATTGGGAAACTGACACCACACACAGATGGCGCTACGTTGGCAAAGAACTGAAAAATGATTAAATCAACTTTGTTTACTTTTTTCTGTTCCATCCGTTGTTGAAGTTTCGTCACTTCTTGTATGGGTTATTTAGTGGTAGGTCTAATGCTATTCTTTAACCACGTGGTTTTAAATAAGCTGGCTGCCATAGTCTATTCTTTATTTGTGGAGTGTGATTATCTATTATAGAATTTGTAGACAGTAGAAATCTTTATAAGGGGGAAGGTGCTTTAATTCTTGACTTTTATGGTGCAGAAAAATCAAAGAAGAAGAAAATATGACGTGCGGATTTTTTAGTATCTCTTAACATGGAGTTTAAGAAGACCAAAGAATATCCAAATCTATGGAAGACGGCGAATTTTCTTTCTCGCCTCTGTTTTTGGTAAGTTATTAAAATTTAATTCTTTTCACTTTTATTTGCCATTTTATTTTACTCATTCTAAAACAGCAAACATTGTGAATAGATCGCGGTAATTCTCTTATAAAAAAAATAAAGTTATGTAGTCACATGCAGTAAAAATGTAGAGACTTGCAGTCATTCGTGATATATGGATGCTGATCTTCAGTCCGCAAAGAGTTTCCTGATAACTTTAATTTACTTATGCGTATTTTAAGACATAAAAACGTATTTTAAACGTTGCGTATTTTAAAACATGAATGCATAGGCCATGAATCACAGATCTTGCCGAGTTCTAAGTATTTAATTTGTTTGCTATTCGCGGCTAGGTTACAGTGAGTGCATGTTTCCCATAGACTTTACAAGTGTATCCCTTCTATCAACCATAATATTGTTAAACTAAAAAAAGTCAAACTTATTTAATATTAAATAAAACTATTGTTTATCGTTATAAACAAAAAAGAATACAAAATATTTTCATTATTTTTAGCTTTAAAAACCATAATAACATTTTTAAAAAAAAAAATGCTTTATTTTTTCTACCTGAAAGGATATGTATCATTAAATTTTTGAGAATTTAAAGTGCCCTAAAGCTATTGAATTAGGAAATTTTGATATATTACAACTGCTACAGTAAAGCTTTTGTACAAAATAGTATAATACGGAATATATAATGAATAATATGAATATTATTGACTATAAGAATGTAACGAATATTCGTATGGTAATATTAACGGATGTATATGTTAACTTAAAAATTAAAATATCGAGAAGTCATTTTTTTTTTTTTTCATCTAGCTTGCATTCGAAATTCACTAAAAATTGCACTTATTATTTTTTTTTTTAATAGCCTTCGAACTACACGTTGATCGCTGGGAAACTTTAGAGCAAGTTCATGATGAATTTTTATCCCAATGAATATTTCAGTATATTTTCAGATGCATATAATATAATTCACTTTATTTTTATTGTATTCTAAAATGAATATTCAATTAATCTTATTCAATGAATTGAATTTCATAAATTGCTAAAATCTCTTTTACATATTGAAAAACGTGGGGCCTGAATGGCCGAGTGGCTAGCGCTCTGGCGCTCGGTACCACAGGTTTCGGGTTCGAGTCCCGGCGGTGCCATGGGTGTTTGTAGTGGTTCGGAATCCACTTTAAACCGTAGGTCCCGGTCCTATTAGGATCGTAGAGTGTTGCGGGGGCATTGTTACTCCGCGTCCGTGGCTTATCTTGAAGTTACACGCGCCCCCTGGGTAATGCAAAGTGAGTAACGTCTGTGCAGCGCTTGCGTTAAGGCATCCAAGACAAAGCTGTCTAAGTGTTTGCCAGCTGCATTAGAAAGAAAAAAAATATATTGGAGAACGTTTTCTATTTACAATTTTTTTAATGTAATAAAAAAAAAGAAAAAAGCTTATGGGTTAATTTTTATCTCATCACTGGTATATTTTCGGGTTCTTCTATTGAATTTTCATTGATTTCCTGGTAAATATAACGAGGTAAAATGCATTGTATTTGCTGAAATAAGACTATTTCCTATCATATCCTTATATCCTAAAAGTAATTATTTGTGTTAAAAAAAAAAATGATGAAAGCGAGTAAGAAAACAGGAATAAAAAAATAAACGGGAATTTTCAACATTTTCCTTGGCATGTCCTATATGAGAATACTGGCCTTTGGTATCACAGGCTGCAGGTTCGAATCTGCTTTAAACTGTAGGTCCCGTTCTAATTAGCCCTCGTGTGCACAAGATGACCATAGAGCGACAAACCAAACTATATAAGGAATAAACAGCTGAATTATGTTCAGAAAACACTTCTGTTTAGGGATTTAAATCAGGTTTGATGATCGAAGTAAAGAGATGGTTGCTCGTAACAAGTAACGACAACCTGTATTATGAATAAACATTGCTTGCCATACATTCGGATAATGGGTGTTGTCATTAAAGATTCGTTGAATTAGTACTTGTTATATTAAGTTACATTAGATTATTTCTTTTATTATGTCGCGAGTTAGAAATTTAGATTCCAGAATATATAAATAATCTTTCACTTTTCTATGATTTTTAAAAAAAAAATATATATATAGTAAAAATTCATAATTTATTAATACATATTTACACTTGCAATTAAATGTCCTATTCGGATGAAAATTTATATTTAAATCCTCCCGCCACAGGATTTCGAGGGCCCACCCGTTTGCCTCTGAGCAGTTTCACGTACTCTTGAACTCTCTCTTCAAAGTTCTTTGCAACTTTCCCTCACGGTACTTGTTTGCTATCGGTCTCACGGTGGTATTTAGCCTTAGGTGGAGTTTACCACCCGATTAGGGCTGCACTCCCAAGCAACCCGACTCCAAGGAGATCGCATCCGGAAGAGACAAAGCAACTATGGGCCTCGCACCCACTCTGGGTAACAGCCCCGGTCAGGGGGACTTGCTGCTATATCTACTTCCAGCACGCTCACTCCTAAACGCCACATTTCCCAGCCCCCTCTCGAAGGCGGGATTTGGCGCTGGGCTCTTCCCTTTTCGCTCGCCGATACTCAGGGAATCCCTGTTGGTTTCTTTTCCTCCGCTTATTTATATGCTTAAATTCAGCGGGTCATCTCGTCTGATCTGAGGTCGACAAGTTTATTTAAAGTATATCTTTTTTCGTCATTCCTGACAAAGAAAAGCATACTCTCCCATAAGTTTGGTTTCTTAAGCATCAAGCCTATATCTCGTCCTCGAGGAGAAACTCTTTTATGTCCGGCTTCTCCAACCGACGAGCATGCATCAAGGCGACGCTCCTTCGACCGGGGAGGATCCTGATTGTCCTTGAACCGGCGGAAACTACGAGTCTCCGATGCGGTCAATTGGAAAGTGGGAAAAAACCCATTTCCTATGCAAGTCTTATCCGACCCTCAGACAGGCGAGGTCCCGGGAGAGACCCGAGGCCGCAATGTGCGTTCGAAAAATCAGTGCTCAATGTGTCCTGCAATTCACACCAAATCACGCAGCTGGCTGCGTTCTTCATCGACCCGTGAGCCGAGTGATCCACTGCTCAGAGTTGTTTTTTATTTATTTTTATGACCAACCTTTCGGAAGGCCGTAGTGTGTTCGAGAATGAGTTCATGACACTTCTCTCCTAAGAGAGAAGGAACGCCACGGGGCGGGGTACCTTTGGGTACATCTCTTCAAGCCTAGCCCTCACCTAGACGAGAACCTCCCTCTTGCCCAAGTCACGGGCCGGGACCTTTATTTTAGGCACACCCATAAGTTGGCGTCTTAAGTATTCGAAAAAGCGTGTTTCACCTAAGCCGTCAGGGCAGAAGGCCAACACATAGAGTGGGAACACTTTTAATTAAAAAAGCGAACCCGTGATTTTTTATCATTTTTATTTCATATAAATATGAAAATAAACGATAATGATCCTTTCGCAGGTTCACCTACGAAAACCTTGTTACGACTTTTACTTCCTCTAAATGATCAAGTTTGGTCATCTTTCCGGCACTTCGGCTCGACCACGAAGGCCAATCCGAGCGCCAGTCCGAAGACCTCACTAAATCATTCAATCGGTAGTAGCGACGGGCGGTGTGGACAAAGGGCAGGGACGTAATCAACACGAGCTTATGACTCGCGCTTACTGGGAATTCCTCGTTCAAGGGGAACAATTACAAGCCCCTATCCCAAGCACGAAGGAGGTTCAACGGGTTACCCAGTCCTGTCGGACAGGGAGAGAACACGCTGATTCCTTCAATGTAGCGCGCGTGCGGCCCCGGACATCTAAGGGCATCCCAGACCTGTTATTGCTCTGTCTCGTGCGGCTAAACGCCGCCTGTCCCTCTAAGAAGAACGTCCGACGCAAGAGGATCGGGACGTCTATTTAGTAGGCTAGAGTCTCGTTCGTTATCGGAATTAACCAGACAAGTCGCCCCACCAACTAAGAACGGCCATGCACCACCACCCACAGAATCAAGAAAGAGCTCTTAATCTGTCAATCCTTCCTGTGTCCGGGCCGGGTAAGTTTTCCCGTGTTGAGTCAAATTAAGCCGCAGGCTCCATTTCTGGTGGTGCCCTTCCGTCAATTCCTTTAAGTTTCAGCTTTGCAACCATACTTCCCCCGGAACCCACAAGCTTTGGTTTCCCGGAAGCTGCCCGGCGTGTCATTTGAGGAACACAGCCGGATCGCTGGCTGGCATCGTTTATGGTTAGAACTAGGGCGGTATCTGATCGCCTTCGAACCTCTAACTTTCGTTCTTGATTAATGGAAACATTCTTGGCAAATGCTTTCGCAGTAGTTCGTCTTGCGACGGTCCAAGAATTTCACCTCTAGCGTCGCAATACGAATGCCCCCGTCTGTCCCTCTTAATCATTACCTCGTGTTCCGAAAACCAACAAAATAGAACCGAGGTCCTATTCCATTATTCCATGCACCATTATTCAGGCGTCGCGCCTGCTTTGAGCACTCTAATTTTTTCAAAGTAAACTTGCCGGTCACCCGAGACAACCGGTGAAGATCATCAGGGGAACCGGCGATAACGCCGAGCACAGACAGTGACCACCGGTAGGCGGACCGCCCGGCTCGAGCTGAGATCCAACTACGAGCTTTTTAACCGCAACAACTTTAATATACGCTATTGGAGCTGGAATTACCGCGGCTGCTGGCACCAGACTTGCCCTCCAATGGATCCTCGTTAAAGGATTTAAAGTGTACTCATTCCAATTACGGGGTCTCAAAAGAGTCCCGTATTGTTATTTTTCGTCACTACCTCCCCGTTCCGGGAGTGGGTAATTTGCGCGCCTGCTGCCTTCCTTGGATGTGGTAGCCGTTTCTCAGGCTCCCTCTCCGGAATCGAACCCTGATTCCCCGTCACCCGTTACGACCATG